TTTCCAATAGTTCATCCCCCCCCCTCATGCCCTGGACTAATCGTAATCAGATTTCAGACCATTTTTATCAAATTATCCTAATTGAGAATACAAATATTAACGTTTCTTTGAAATCTGGTTTATGTCAAACATTTTAATACCTTCTCCTTAACACTTTAATATCATTATAATTATGTTCTGCCATGATCATGTGTAGAGGTAACTGAGACTGATCTTGGAAAAAAAAAACACTGTGGGTTTAGCAGATTTCTTTAATTTCTTCTTTGATTTGCTGTAAGAATGTTGGGTAACATGACGGGTGCAGATAAAAGTTGGAATATTTTTCCAACAGCTCAAAGATTTTTATTCTTCACGAACAGTATGGATTCTCATTTGCTGTAGAGTTCACCACAGAGCAATATCTCATTCTAATGTTTAGAATTTACTGTCTATGTATACTTGTAAAGCAGGCTAAATCTATGTGATGTCCACAAACCTTATTGTGCGATCTTAATCCATATTTATTACTTAGCAGCCATGGGCGGCCAGAATATCTATATTTCACAGTAACGCCAAATCTATCAACATTTTGCTAATCACTTATTTGTATTAAAGCTAGCAACATCGCCATAGTCTTACTGTACATAGTTTAGGTCATTGCACCTTGCAAGGAGAATTGAATAGAAGGAGGGGGCAATAGGGTTTCCGTACACTTTGCTGTGACGTTTTTGGACTGCGAGAACTAATTTTTGCGTAACAACAATAATAAAGATTGTAAACAATAACACAAATGATAAACAGACATTTGGTGCATCTCTGGCGTTAGATGAGGATTAACCGTATACTAACTCATGTTTTTTTACATTAGATCGGCTGCCTTTATTATTGTTGTTACGCAAAAACTAGTTCTCCAGCAGTCCAAAAACGTCACAACAAAGTGTACGGAAACCCTATTGCCCCCTCCTTGTATTCAATTCTCCTTGGGTCATTGTAAGGGAAAACTTAAAGGCCAAAGTAAACTATGCACAACTTGTAATTTATATTTTCAAATTTTAGGAAATAAGGCGTATAGTCATTTTACGCCTCGGGACTATCAGAATCTTGGAAGATATTTTTGTGAGACTATTCTAGACTTTACTGATCCTACACCTCCCAAGGAACAACTCAGGTTTGGAATATTCTAGACTTTATACTGCTCTTAAACAACCCGTGGAACAACTCAGGTTTTGAATATTCTAACTGAAAAACTCTTTTTTTTATCCTTGCAATCTGATATCGTAGACCGTTGATATTTCAAACAATGAGTTACTATATATCAAATAGTGAAAGTCTGAAATATCAAAGATTTACTGAATCAGGTCTGCAGTAGGGTGTCTCTGAAAAAACTCCCAGATGTGCGACAAATATTTAATAAAGCATTAGAGTGAATCTAGCTAAAATGCGAAATTTTAGCATTTTGAATTAATTTTCCTAAATGACCCAGCCATTAAAATGTTTTTGTCTGACATTTTTGGGCTTTTTTAGCCTTTTTTAACCATTTTGGAAATCCTTTAACTTGGTTAAAACGATTTGACAATTTTTTTTCAAATTTCTGTCTTTTGATAGTCAAATATTTAGAGAAAGGTGAAAAATCGTGGTTAAAGTACATTTTTTTAAAACTAAACACCATGATTTTGAAAATATTTTGACAGTTCAGAAATGGCCTAAAAATGTTTAATCTACAAGTTATAGAAAAAAGTGTAAGGTATTGGCTAAAAAATCCCTTTAATAAAATCCGTTCCTGGTGCAATTTTCTCCTCAATTCCTCTTGCTTTCGTATTTGAGCTAGTTTTACCCAAATGCTTCCTAAAAATGTGTCGCACATCTGGGATTTTTTTTTTCAGGGGCACCCTAGCCTGCAGGGCCCACCTAGATGCGTAAAAAGGGTGAAATACTTTTTTGAATTATTTTCAAGATTCAAAATAGTATTATTCTTAATGCATAAGAATTCGTTTTCATGCAAATAATATTTAGAAAGAATTTAGTAAAAGGGCCAAAGGAAATCTTCATGAATTTTGAAAACATGTTTTATTAAATAAATATTCGTTGAAATAATTTTTTTAAAATTAATCTTTACATTGCACAGTAGTTATATTAAAACGTTTATTAAGTACTAGGTTTGAGGGAACTTCGCGCCCATCCTTTATTTTAACTTTTAACTTTGGTTCTTTCTGTGAGCATCATCTCTTTGTACAGTATAAAACAATAACAAAAAGTTGGCGGATTTTCAAATATTTTTTTGCAAATTTAAAAAGATTTTGTAATTTTGAGCATCCAATTATCATCCCTGGGGTCATGCGAGGTCTCGCCCAGTTTAGCCGTTTTGACGTTTATTAGACACAGACATATCGACAGACAAACAGACAAGCAAAGTGTATATATTGTAAATCATGAGGTTTGCAGCTGAGCAGTATATTTTTGAACGTAGAGATACAAATCTAGTTTGCAAGTTTTCAAAGGAACCCGGAAATGAAAAATGCCAACAGATTTTATAACATTGTAAAAATATATATATATATATATATATTNATATATCTGTATCTATAGGCCAAAGTAAACTATGCACAACTTGTAATTTATATTTTCAAATTTTAGGAAATAAGGCGTATAGTCATTTTACGCCTCGGGACTATCAGAATCTTGGAAGATATTTTTGTGAGACTATTCTAGACTTTACTGATCCTACACCTCCCAAGGAACAACTCAGGTTTGGAATATTCTAGACTTTATACTGCTCTTAAACAACCCGTGGAACAACTCAGGTTTAGAATTTCTAAATATTATACTGATCGTATCCCGTCTCCCCGCCAGCCATGGGAACAACTCAGTTTTGAAATATTCTAGACTTTACTGATCCTTCACAACCCATGGAACAACTCAGGTTTGGAACATTCTAGACTTTACTGATCCTAACTCAACCCATGGAACAACTCAGGTTTGGAATATTCTAGACTTTACTGATCCTACACCTCCCATGGAACAACTCAGGTTTGGAATATGCTATACTTTACTGATCCTACACCTCCCAAGGAACAACTAAGGTTTGGAATATTCTAGACTTTACTGATCCTACACCTCCCATGGAACAACTCAGGTTTTGAATATGCTATACTTTACTGATCCTACACCTCCCAAAGAACAACTCAGGTTTTGAATATTCTAGATTATACTTATCCTACACCTCCCAAGGAACAACTCAGGTTTGGAATATGCTATACTTTACTGATCCTACACCTCCCAAGGAACAACTCAGGTTTGGAATATTCAAGATTATACTGATCCTACATCCCCAAGGAACAACTCAGGTTTGGAATATTCTAGACTTTACTGATCCTACACCTCCCAAGGAACAACTCAGGTTTGGAATGTTCTAGATTATACTGATCCTACACCTCCCATGGAACAACTCAGGTTTGGAATATTCTAGATTATACTAATCCTACACCTCCCAAGGAACAACTAAGGTTTGGAATATTCTAGATTATACTGATCCTACACCTCCCAAGAAACAACTCAGGTTTGGAATATTCTAGATTATACTGATCCTACACCTCCCAAGAAACAACTCAGTTTTGAAATATTCTAGACTTTACTGATCCTACACCTCCCAAGGAACAACTCAGGTTTAGATTATTCTAGACTTTACGGATCCTACACCTTCCAAGAAACAATCAGGTTTAGAATATTCTGGACGTTACGGATCCTACACCTTCCAAGAAACAACTCAGGTTTGGAATATTCTGGACGTTATGAATCCTACACCTTCCAAGAAACAACTCCGGTTTGGAATATTCTGGACGCTATAAATCCTACACCTCAAGAAACAACTCAGGTTTGGAATATTTAAGATTTTACTTATTCTACACCTTCGAAACCATCTATTTTTTAATCATCAAATTGGCTGATTTCCAATGGAGCTTTTTATTGGTCCAACGCTGTAGATTAACGGGCTCTCATACCAGGTTGGCAAAGTTTGAACATTTTCCGTCTCTCTGATTAGTTAGACGGTGCCTGGAACCGACAACTCTTTAACAGATTAAAGGGAATCAAAAGGTTCATCTTCTACTGTTTTATGCAATTTTTCTCTAGGTATAAAGTTCACCTGAAGCTGCAGCGTGGAAAGAGTTCAGCAACTGAACCAACCTCCGTTGAACTCTCCGACTATTCAAGTCTCTCCTCCAGTGATAACGACTACACGGAGACAGATAGTGAGAGCAATTACTTTCTCTTCTCAAATATTAGGTTAGATTTTACAATCAATGTATTTTTTTGGGAAAATGAAAAAAAAACTATAAAATATTTTAAAAAAACAAAAAAACATATTAGTTCGCAATTTACAAAGAAAAATGGTAAATTTTTAAGAGCAACAGCTAAAATTGTTGAAAAAGGATGCAAGCAGTCTAAAAAGCCTAGTCAAAAATAGTTTTGCATTTTGTTGTCGTATCTTTTTCAATTAATTAAATTAAATACTGTTCTGATTTCATTCCGAGTCCCCTTTTTCACCTTAAATGATCCTGACGGTTGTTGACCTCCAGATGGATTTGTGTACGTTTATCTACGAAATTGATTCTGATTTGAATGAAATATATTGCTGAGAGATTTCTTGGATCAAAGTTTATTAATTAATGAAATCCTTCATAATTAATCAACCAATAGAATATATGCAAAGTTCAGAACAATGTTAAAGGGACTGTAGGCGTAATTCCAAGTGTCCCTCCATTTGAAAAGAGGCGTGTTCGATTCGCAACCATACCTAGCACTTGTATTTGAGAAATATTATTTCTTCTCTTAGCTCTTTTGTAAATAGCTATAGGTCAGACAGAAAGTGGGGCGGATGATAAGTCGCAAACGTGGAGAAATATTTGTCGTTAGAAAATGCCAACCAAGAAAACATGCTTTGAACGCATGTTTGAACACGTGGAAAACCAAAGCCAACATTGCCCTAGATCCTAGTTTGAATTCAAGCCAATAGGCTGGAACCACGGCTTAGAAGGAAAATATAGGATCGGCCTTGGCTTAAACTGAAATGGAGTTAGTGATGACCAAGGGTCGGAAGATGGAAGATCAACTCGTCGTACGAAGCGAATGAAAGGCATCAGAGAGTCTGCCAGAGAGCTCCAACTTTCATTAATTAATTATTTTTCCGACTTTTAAATGGTAACATTAAAGTTTCAGAAAATTAATCCTCTCCTTTACTTTTAAATCGTTTATATATTTATTTTTTAATCAGGAAAACTATTAGAAGAAGAGTGAGAAGAAAACCTTTGCGTTCACCTTGTAAACAAACTTCAAGTTTAGGTAGATCACTAAATATTTATACCCTGTAAACAAACTTCAAGTTTAGAAAGATCAATAAATAGTTTCACCCTATAAACAGACTTCTAGTATAGGTAGATCAATAAATATTTTCACCCTGTAAACAAACTTCAAGCTTTGGTAGATCACTAAATATTTTCAGCCTGTAAACAGACTTCTAGTATAGGTAGATCACTAAATATTTTCAGCCTGTAAACAGACTTCTAGTTTAGGTAGATCACTAAATATTTTCACCCTGTAAACAGACTTTTAGTTTAGGTAGATCACTAAATATTTTCTCCCTGTAACCAATCTTTTTCTTAAATGGTGTTATTATTCAATATAGAACTAAAAAATTTCCCGTGGTTTAATCCAAATTTGATTTGACCCATATCATATAGTTATGATCGAACATACAAACAGACAAATAAAGATTACTACTTTATAATAATGGATAAGTAGGGATTGATAAGCTTGAGAACTACTAATTTCTAATTAGCATATCTCTAATAATTCACATTTCTAATTAGCAGATTCTTTGTTTTATTTTAGTTTATCTATTTATCATATTTGAGAAAAAGGGTCCGTCCTAGTATACAAATTTTAGACGCCCCCCATGCTCCCGCCCACCCTACACCTCCCAAGGAACAACTCAGGTTTTGAATATTCTAACTGAAAAACTCTTTTTTTTATCCTTGCAATCTGATATCGTAGACCGTTGATATTTCAAACAATGAGTATTTCTGGGCCGAGCGCTGCGGCCACATGGTCCAAAAATTGTATATTGAGAAATTACCGAGAATAATATTTGCAATCTTGATCAGGCGTTGTTAAACATTTAATAGGGGTTTACATTTTTATATTTAGAAACTTTTTTTTTATTTTCTGAGGGTTCTTTCTGTATGTATACTTTGCTTGTCTTTCTGCTTGTTTCTAATTGTATCCAATAAACGTAAGACGACAGAACCAATCAGCCAAACATTTTTTGTGGGAACTTACAAGACCCAAGGAAGGATTATGACTGGTTAACGTTGTAAAATTATGACCCGAAAAAATGTATCGACAACTATTGGTTTTAAAAATGCGCTGCATGACTTAGATAGAAAATTCGGCGAAATTTGCGAACGATTTAAGATGGCGACTTTCAGAAACAGATAGGTCAGGTCAAGGTACTAATGCAAGGAAAGTTATTTCAGAGGTGTACGCATTTGTTGTACTACAGTGTACTGTCGTTGGGGGGAAAAGTAAACATAAGACGGATGTCACAGCCTGACATGGAATCCACTTTCACAAAGTAATGTACAAAATATTCTGGTCATAGGAAACTATTATGTGAATTTTAAAAATTATCAATATCAAATGCTTTTATCCTTCTCGGATACTAGACAAACACTGATTTCTTGTTTATAAATTTCGCCCAGAGAGAACTGGTTTCAATATGTACGCAGCAGAGTATACGCGACCTCAGTTAACTTTCCTTGCATTAGTACCTTGGGTTAGGTAGGGTTATCTATAGAATATTTGAGAAAACCTAATATTCTAGAATCAAAGGGACGGGTGAGAAGACATATTTCTGATGGGTTGAGTGAGGATGATGATGAGGATGATGAAGAGGATGAGGATGGGGATGAGGATGGGGATGAGGATGAGGAAAGTGATTACACAAAATATTTCCCAGAATCTGAAGGTAAGCAAAACAGAGCTGGGAACTTTAGAATATGATGCCGTATTCCCGATGGATTGATCAGAATATCAAACTTTGACATTTAATTTTCTGCTTAATCTCCTCATTTTCTATCTTTTTTAATATCCCTGCCAGATTCCGACCAATCAGAGTTTTCTTGGTAATTGGTGCGTACAATTTCAAATTTCCCGGCTTCTGATTGCCTGTTCGGGATTTTGCATACGCCAGTCTATTGGTTAAATTTCACACCTTCTCAAGATAGAAGCTAGAGATAGAGATTAAATTAATCTTGAGATTAATAAAACGATTAGATTACGCATTGATTCATAATTCTAAATTTTTAATCTTATATTACACAGATAAGCCAAGAATGTCATATATTGGTTCCTCGAGGTCAATACTTGATCTGGATAATGCTTAATTAGTAACATGGGCTTAACCGCAAACTTTAATAAACAAAGTAAAGAACTTGATTTAGTAAAAAACACAAACCAAGAGAAAATTATTCAAAAAATTATTTTCAAAAGAGAAAATTATTCAAAATTTAAGAAAATGGAAGAGAAATAATTAAATCTGATCAATTTTTGTAAATACCGAAAAATTCCAAGACTTGACTTAACCTTGAAATTTTTTCTCAAGGTCAAATAGTGTAAAATGTGCGGGTTCTATCTATATCTATCTGTATATGTCTATATATATCTGTATCTATCTGTATCTATCTGTAATCTGTATCTATCTGTAATCTGTATCCATCTGTATCTATCTGTATCTCTCTGTATCTTACTGTACTTATCTGTATCTATTTCAAAAATTTCAAAAATTCAAATTCACGGATATTCTAAAAATAATTTTTATTTTCAGCTCGTAATTTTAATAGAATTTTGAGAGAAGGGAGTAATAAATTATTCACAAACCGTTTTTTAAATATTTATAAGACTAAACTAAGCTATGTGCGCATTTTAAACACAATTTTCATCAATTTTTTACCACATTGTTATTATAATTTGTTTAAAGGTTTTAATGATAAAAGTACCACTTTTAAAAACATTTTTCGGAAATTCATTTTCGCGCTAACTTAATTCTTGTCGTAAACTCTGATTTTTAAATAATTTGAAATATCAAAGGTTTACACCATGTAGGGTGCAAAGATATAGGATCAAAAAATTTGTGTTTGTAACCTTTGTTAAATATTTATTTTGTCTAAATACGTGTTAAAGCCAGTAAAAACTGATATATGAGATATTTACAACATTTCTAATTTTTGTTTTTATTATGATGCTTCCTTTCCAAGAAGTATCTCTGGCTACGGGATATTTTTCTAAACTTTCAATTTTCAGAACTTTCCAGAATAATAAGATTATGCCCAGGGATTAATTTCATATTCTTACTCAGCTGAATATATACACTACGGTACCCTTTCTTCATTCATCGGATACAAATTGAGAAAGATATCGTCGTTTTTCTCTCCAACAATTTTCTCTGCTGAAAATTTTCTTGGAAAAAAAGGATATCCTTCTAAGTTCTTATTTTCAATATGAAATGTGTGAAACAAATGTCAAAATAAAGTCCGTTAAAATGTGTCTTTAAAACCTCGTTTTTAAAAAAGGCTTTAATGAAGGGATTGATGCAAAGTTAGGTTTTTTTTAAGTCCACACGTCGGAGAAGTATATTTCGACTTATAGTTTCTAATTTAACTCCGATAACAAAGACAATATGAAAAGAAAAAAGAAACATAAATAATAAAGCATAAAGGTATTCGAAAATCAGCACAAATTAAAAAAAGCTAAAAATATCTATTTTGTCTTAAAAACTTTTTTTTTCATAATAGCTCATCATCAAAGAATGAAAACAAGCCACCACCAATTAATTTTAAAAAATTCATATGTATCTTTCTGTTCTTAGAATCAGGAAAAAATAATTCCACAACCTCAGTTTTTGAGGTTCTTAAATATTTCCTGCTCAAAAACTGTGTTTTGTATTTTTTGTTGAATTTTATTATAAAATTATTTACTTAGTTTACACATGTTAACAACGTTTCTGCTATTATGTATTAGTTTTTTTATGCTCAAAACTTTTGCCACCAAACTAGAAATTAAATATTTGAAAATAAATTTTAATATTTGATTCAGCGTTCTGTTTAATTAAGGAAGTAATGTTTACTCTGCCTCTGCTTGTCAGAAGATACATTCAGATCTTGAAGAAACAGTTAACAAGCTTTATACCAGTCTTCATTCCCTTTCAAGACCACAGGTATACTCATTGCCCCCTCCTTGTAT